GGGGGGGGGGGGGGTGATGTAGGGGCCGGGCCTACGGTTTTAGATTTTTTGGGTGAACGCCGGGCCTTTTCGGGGGCATTGGGGCTGCTTGGTTTGGGGTTGGTTTTGCGGTTCAAGTTTTGGGGTTTAGGGTGTAAGATTTTGCGGCATCAGGGTTGGCGGTTGGTCGGTTGGTCTGGAGTTGTTTGAGCTTCTGCCGAGTGCATCTCCCAGGCGGGCAAGAAGCCAAAGAAGAAGGCGAAGTGAGAGGCTTTGTACATACGAGCAGCTAGCCACTCAACTTTGAACAGCCACGATGTGTACCAATTCAGGCTGAATGTTGCCGACATTATTCCCGAGGATTCTTTACTCTACTATAGGAACCCCCAAACCCTGTTCTATCCCTATATGGCAGCACTGTTCTAAGTTCCTAAAGCTTGTATTCAAGTTGTGAAGACTTCGTGGAAGACCTTTAACTCCCAGAGGCTCTAAACCTAACGCGGCCGCGAGCAAGAGCTTGCACCAATCTGGCAACATAGGGGCTACAAGTGCCCATGGTACAATAGCAACAGGTCAAAGGCACCTGTGATGTGACCTTGTCAAACATACCTTGCTTGGCAACCGGAAACGACAAGCGTCATCTGGGTAGTTCTCTAAACTCTGATCCCTTTTTGGGTCCCCAACATAGTACGGCACCCTTATAAAAAGGACCCTAAAAGGGGCCCTAATTTAGAGAACTACCCATATAGCGGTGTATATTGATGGCTCTTTTGGCTAGGGGTGCGGTTATTGTTTGGTCAGGAAGTCGAGATTTGGTCTTCGAGATTGGGGTTGGCCCGGCCTGTGTTCTGCTTTAGGCTCTGTTCATGCTTTAGGAATGATTAACGCTCAGTCCACTGACAATTGTGGACTAGTGACTCTGCTCTAGTCAATGTCACCCCTCACCACTGTCAGCGCCATCGTCTTTATCTTGATGATTACGGTCATTGTCTACTTCGACGCCAACATCTTCGACAGTAGTAATCAGGCCCTATGTACAGTAAGGTCTAGCTGTGTCGGATTTCTAGACCAGGACAAAAATCCTCAACGGGATTAAAGGTCGCGTCGACCTTGACATTGAAGGTGACATGACAAATAAAGATGAAGGTGAAGAGGGACACCAATGTGAAAAATAGGACCTCTAAGATGCAGCTGAGGATGATGATGCGTAAGGAAACGAGTAAGCATAATAAGATGACGACCATGATTTTGATGATGATGATGAAGATGATGATGATGATGATGAGCAAGAAGAAGACGATAATGGTGAACATGATTCTCTTCCACCTAACCATTGTCTACTATGTGCACAGACAGTGCAGCCACGGTAGACCAATCCCAAGGCTTTCTGATGCAGATCAATAGCTGCTGACGATTAGGGCTTTATGTGGTTTTCTTGTGTATCTGAAATAGTACATGTATAGCAATCACTGATGGAGGTTCGTTAGGGAATAGAGTTAGAGGCCCCTAAATGTCCATCATTGCATCATGTGGCATCCCTTGTCAGGCTTCATTACATCGGCACGCAGATTGTGCAGGAACGCGATCGGCAGCAACGGCCGCGAACTCAACCGATGACACGGAGTTGTGTGATTTTGGTGTTCTAGATCTGCAAGTAGCCAGAATACCTCAAGAGCGAAGCCAAGAATGAGCCTGCACAAGAGTGTATGTTTCTGCATGCATGGTATGTACGTGTATGTAAAAACATGTTTATGTGTGTATATATATATATATGTAGATATATATGTAGATACTGCAGTTCAGCATTCCCATGTATGCAGTCTGCATATAGGCATGAGGTATGCATGCGTTTATAGATGTCTACTCATGCATACACATGTATATATACATATATACACACACATGTATGCACCTATCCACATACACAAGTGCAACCTTTCAGATCTCAATCCTCTTCATCCATCAATGATCCATCAACATAACCTAGACCTTAGACCCTCAACCCTACAACCTAACGTATGAACCTGCATTCAACCTGATCTGCCCCGGTTTAGACCAGTACCCTAAATCTTTGCAGACCCATAAACCCTTATAATCCCTGTTCAGGCAGATCGGACTATAGGTGCGTACAAACACTCTATATATTATAGCCCCTAAACCCTCACACTAAACCTAGAGATGCGTTTCTTCCCTGGCGCGAGGCTTTACTTGCTGCAAACACTCCTGGACCAGGACAGGGCGCGATTGATTAGCGGACAGTTCCTTTAAAGGATCTACGAGGGTTTAGGTTTACCCATGGGCTCCAAGAGTAGGTTCTGTTAGGGGATGCTTTCAGGGATCTATAAGGACTTCTTAATAAAGGTTTCCGCTTAAGGGCTCTATGGGGACTACTTTCAGGCTTCCTGGAAAGAAGTCTCTACTAGAAGGGTTCTGGAAGGAGGTTCCGCAAAGAATTTGTCAGGGCAGAGCGGAGCGGATGAAAAAGCTTCTCTAGCAAGGACCAAAAATCTAGCCACGAGTCAGCCACGAGTAACGGCGCCCCCACCTGGTCTGGGCCGGGCGTGACCCTCAGATGGCTCCGAGATGGGGCGCAAGCCTGCGCGAAGGAAATCGCAGCCTCCACCGAGAGCTCCACAAGCCCGAAACCCTAAACCCTAAACCTTAAACCCTAAACCCAAAGCCTTAAACCCTAAACTCTAGATCCTAAAACTTAAACCCGACACCCTAAACCTTAAGCCTTAGACCCGAAACCCTAAACCCTAAACCCTAAACCTTAAACCCTAACTCCTATTATCAACCCGAAACCCGAATTCCTAAACCTTCAACCCGAAACCCTAAGTTCCCTAAAGCCGAAATTCCAAGCCTCAAGCCGCCTGAAGCCTTGGAAGGGGTACAACTTTGTCGAAGCATCTCACGTTTTGGGGTTTAGGGGTTTAGGGGTCTCAGCAGCAAGCGAGTCACAACAAACCCAAACAAACACCACAAACGCCCCACAAACGCCCCGCAAACGCCCCGCAAAGACCACCACAAAGACCACCACAAAGACCACCACAAAGACCACCACAAAGACCACCACAACCACCACCAGAAGTTGAGGGTTCATTCATGATGATACTTTGGGGCTGAGGGATTGGATTGATAAGGGGCTTGGCGCGATCCTTAAAACCCTAAACCCTAAACCTAGGAAACCTTGGATTTGGAACCTCAAAAGTTCTAGACCCTAAATCCTGAAACTTATAAGCCTTGATAAGCCCGAAAGCCTTTAGCCCCGGATCCTTAAACCATCTTTGCCTGATATGGGGGGCCTTAATAATTAGAACAGGGTTATGGGG